GGTAGGGTTTATGCCACCTAGACTGCTCAACCTCAGTTGTTGGAGATCTCTGAGTTGAAATGTGTGACGACGCATAAGTTGTTGATGAGTTGATTTGTTGTTGATATGAGTTGTATATGTTATTATGTTGTCAAGCTGTGATTGTGTTGTATGTTGACCCTGTTGAGGATGATGATAGTGTTGTTATGTTGTAAGCGGTTTTAAGCATGTGTTGTTGAAAGATGTGTAATATATGTGTTGTTTGTCTTCTGTGTCGGATGTGAAGATGATTATAGTTGTTATGTTGCATATTTGATATTTATGAGTTATTTATTGTCTCTAGCTTACCCTTGCATGTTTCCATGTGGTTTGGACTGCGATGATCATACGTTAAATTAAAGTTGAGAGAACACTAGGCCAATTATCAAGATCAACCTTACATCTTACAACCACTAAGTCAAAAGGCTTAATTTCTTTTTAAAGATTTTTTAGAATATTATATAAATTTTATTAAAATTTATAGACATAAAATATATATAACATAACTTTAAAAAAATTAACAAAGACAAATATGGAAGCTTCCAAAGAGATACCCATGATCCCTACGCATGTATGTGCCAAGCGCAAACTGTGTGTTGAGATCAAGGTCTTTTAAGAGAACAAGGAAGCTTTATGTAATGGTGCCATTCATGCACACAAACACAAAGCTAAGATCCAACACACTAAGCACGGCTACGCCTACACTAAATGTAAGACTCCTAAAACAACAAGTTATTTTCACCATGATTTTTACTCATTTATATAATGTAGAAAGCGGGGTTGGGACGGAGTTATGTGAAGGGTGAATTAAGTTTTTTTTTTTTTTTGGAAAACGCAAACAATAGTGAAAAATAATTTTGAAAATAATTTTAACCAAAGCTTTGTTAACCTACTTATCAAGATCAAGAAAAAAAAATATTTCCAAATTCTGGTGATTGGTGGATATGTATGATTGTTCACAACCTTAATAACCAAGTTCAACACAACAATGCAACGGAAGGTTTTGTTTAATCAAATTTTCTTGGCAGAAGAAGAAAGGAAGAAGAGATTGTAAAGGAAAAAAAGAAATGGTTCTGTACGGGTAAGGCCTTTCGACCATACCCTTCAACTCGGCCATTCCCTTCAGCATGATATAATGACCAAGTAGGGGTAGCCTCGAGGGTGTGTTGGCATAGCCGAATGCCGAAACAACCCACCAAGTCAAGGTTGTCAGGGTCAAAAAAAGCCACACCTATTCGGATCAATTGAGGGTCGAATGGAATCATATTGCTAGGGTAGTTGGGACCCGAAAGGACTGTTTTTGGTTTCCGACACCTAATCGGCACTCCCAATAGCTGAAATGACCTAAGGAATGACTCATAGGATAAGTGACCCCTAAACAGTTATTAGAGACTAATCATGCGTGTAAGACGATTAATAGCGTATTACCTAATTCGGTAAACCTAGCACATGGCCATTAATGTCACTATAAATAGTTCACATCTCGAGGTAACGTCACTATTCATTAATTACTATTGATATTTGTGCTTGCCCTGACTTGAGTGTCGGAGTGCCTTTTGGTGTTGATGATTAGTTTCATTAATTTGATTTCTAAAACATTGATAGAAAAATCTAAGTCCAATTTATTTGATTATTTTAGGGTGTAGTGTAATGTAACGCTTTCTCTGTAATTTAGCCTTTAAAAAGAAAACGCAAGTGAAGTGTGTTCCCTCGGTAGAGAGTTGCCGAAAAACCCCTCCGGCGAGCGAGACAGTAACAAAGCAGCTTATCGTTGTTTAGGGTTTAAATTAACAAACATGAACATTTTTTAATGAAACTTTGTCTAAAATTTGAAGATGCTTCCAGATACTTTATTGAATTGCAACCTTTTTCATGCTTTATTGAATTACAATTTTTTCATTGTTTAGAGGTTTATGTTGGCGAACTTCTTTAAGAGGAGCCATGCCTAGACTTTGTAATCCTAACAAGTCCCTAGTGAATATTATCTTAATTGGGATATTAGTGTCAAATGCCCATGATTTGGTATTTTGTTGATTATCATGTACTCATATACTATTTTTATTTGAGATATCATACTTAAATTGGTACTACATTAATACAAGCATTAGAATCTATAGGTGCATTACATGAATATTTGCCTATTAGTATTTGTATAGTATTTAATTGTTATCTATTTGTATATATGTTGTGTTTTCAAAATGTTATATAATTTACTTCAATAAATGTTTAATTTAAAGTTATATATTTATTGAATCAATCTATAATTTAATTATTTTATTTATATTATATTAATTGTATTTTTTTAGACTTCTTTCTATATGATATAAATTTTATTAAAATATATATAAATATAAAATACATATGATACAAATATTTTTATAAAAATTTAATAGAAATCAGATTGTGTGATACAATAATTGGCCAATGACTCTAATCTACTAACCTAAGTATTTTGACTGAGTTGATGATTAGTTTCATTAGTTTGATTTCTAAAACATTGATAGAAAAATATAGGTCCAATTTATTTGATTATTTTAGGGAGTAGTGTAATGTAACGCTTTCTCTGTAATTTAGCCTTTAGAAAGAAAACGCAAAGAAAGTGTGTTCTCTCGGTAGAGAGTTTCAGAAAAACCCCTCCGGCGAGCGAGACAGTAACACTAAGCTTCCAATGGCATCAACATCGCCTCTCGAGATATTAGGTATCCATCGTCACCTCTCAAATTCAATTCATTCCTCTCTCATTTTCTCTCTAACTTGGTTGTTTCAAGTTCGAGGACCCGAAGATTTCTCGCTCTGGACCGGACCCCCCTTCGCCAACGCTCAACCTAGCGTGAAGCTCGAGAAGGTGAGTTGCGCGAGTGCCAAGTTCAGCGACGATGGATCCAAACTCATGGTCACCAAATCCAACTCCATCGTCGCTCTATACGACTGCAGCACCGCCAAAGAGATTAGGTCTTTTCAAGTTCCCAATCTCCTAGCCACCGCCTTGTCGCCCCGTGGAACCTACTTGCAGACCTTCCAGAAACCCTCCGCGCCGCAGGACAAGAACGTCACGCTCTGGAAAATCGACACCGCTGATCCCGTTTACCAGCACTCCCAAAAGAACATCACCAAATCCAATTGGTATCTTCTTGTCATAAGTTCGTTAATTATTACCAAAATTTTCATGCTTCTAGTTGACCTGACCTTGTAGGAGTGAACACTTGTATTGGTCTCTGAATCTGGAGGGCGCTGTAGTATTAGACTCTGAAACTAAGAAATTGTTAAATGAGTTGTTTGGAATGCAAATTGACAATCGTATTTGTTTAAAACTAAAATAATAGTAAGTAGTTAATTTTAAGGGTTTATTTGACATTCTAGAGACTTATTTGACAATTTTGTGGTTTCAAAGACTAATATGACAATGTCTTCTAAATTTAGGGACTAAAGTGGATGTTTACTCGAGTGATTGAGGAATTTTTCATGATGTTGCGTGTCCGAATGTAAATGGCTTAAAGATAACATTCTTGTTAAGGCTTATTCTAACTGTTTCCGCGTCTGTCTACTGTTTAGGCCTGCGATTCAGTTTAGTTCCGATGAAGCTACTGCATGCCGGTTGGCTACTAATGAGGTACAATTTTTTGATGCCGGGGATTTTTCGAAAGGAGTTACCTGTCGGTTGAGAGTTCCGGGAGTTTCTGCTGCTGAGCTTTCTAGTTCACCTGGGTCTCATGTAGCTGCATTTGTTCCAGAATCCAAGGTTTGTGTGCCGGGGAGGCTTAGTTCAGTTTTTTGCAACTAAATGAATGAGAATTTGGTATTATTGGTAATTTGGCATGCTGTTTGTTAGGTTTCTAAATTCTAATATATAGAGTAATGATTCATGGACACTACTCTACAAACATTTCATTAACACTCATCAGTTTTCTCTATGTCTTTCTTTACATCACCTATCACACCTTTACATCTTTATCTTCTATCCTTTCTCTTACTATGCGTTGATTGGATTTGTGGGTCCACAAATATTTTTCTATATGAAATTCTATGAATTATTGATGTATAAAAATGAGTATTTGGACAACTGTCTTTCATTTTGTTCTAGATTCTTGGGTAGTTTGGGAATAATTTGGATTTGAGAACTAGGATGTAATTGTAATTCTTTCTTCCAATCATAAAAAGGATAGTTTAATGAAATTTGATGTTGCTGATGCGTAGTGTATTTTTGATGCTCAGTTGAGTCAAGTGGGTTGAGATGACTTGGACAATTTATATATAGTTAACTAATATTTTTGTCTATGAAAGTAATTGCATTTCATGATTTGGTCCTTTACTTGTATTTTCTCAGTTCAATCATTATTGATGTAATTTTTCATAGTTGGTATTGGATTTGAACTTTGAAGTATAGGGTGAATGGAATGGCCAATGTGAAACAAGTGAAAACATTCACTGATTCAATTTAGAAAATCAGAAAGTGTTGGGTGCCAATTTAAAAAACATTCATCAATTCAATTTAGAAAAAAAAAATAGTTCCTAAGATTGGAAGACTGCACCAGGTGAAGCTCTCTCATTCAGGGTGCTGATGGTTGAAGACATTTGTGTACTTGAGAGCAACGGGATATGGAACCTTGTTCTTTTCCCTGCAAGGAAGTCGGTTGTCGGATGCAATTGGATATGTACACTTAAAGTTGGTCTTCATGGTTAGTTTGGTTGGTTGCTAAAGATCATGCACAATTTTTTTTGCTTGAATTACAGATTTACAGTGTTACTTTTTCTTTGATAGCTACAATGACTTGTGTTGGATTATTCCTTCCGATTGCTGCTATTTGCCATTAACCTCTTTACTAGATTGGTATTAAAAGGGCTTTGCTCTATGATCTCACTAGTTTATATGGAGAAATGTCCTGGATTCATTGCTCAAGGGTAGTCCTTGAAACTAGTTGTTTTTCGTTAATCTCTTTAGTCTAAAACAATCTCCTAGGGCATGGTTTGAAAGATTTAGCACTGTGTATCTAAGACTTAAGACATGGATTCCATTACATGTCTCCCATTTTTCTTCCTCTCAACAAAATCATTTTCAATAATTGGTGAACATTCAAACTATGAAATTATTAATTATTTCTTTGTCTGGGTTTGTTGGACCAAATTGGTAGCCTAGGAATGGCTGATGACTAAATATTATAAAAATATGCTATCCTAAACAAGGATTGTTTAATAAGAAATCTAATGTGGATTTCTTTGCATATGATGTCTTCTTGTTCATTATGTTGCATTGATAGTCAATATTGATTGATGATAAATAAAGGTTTCGAGTACAGGTTTATATTCAGTGTGGCAGGCATCTAGAGATGATTATTTTATTTATCACACCTTTTCAAGTTTGATGCACATATTGTGAAGTTGTCTACCGTGTAGGGGGTTCCTGCTAGTGTACAGATATTTGCTTGTGGAAATGCATCTCAAAGTCAACCTATTGCTCGACGTAGTTTTTTCCGATGTTCAACCACCCAACTTAAATGGAATCGTGGCTCAACTGGGCTTTTAGTAGTGGTGCAGTCAGATGTTGACAAAACTAATCAGAGTTACTATGGTGAATCGAAGTTATGCTATTTGACTACAGATGGGATGCATGAAGGACTTGTGCCTCTTCGTATGTTCTTGCTGCTAGTAAAAGAACTGATAATTGGTTATATAATCTCGATAAGAAGGGTAACATTCTATTTTTTAAAATAAATTGGCAGGGAAAGATGGGCCTATTCATGATGCTCAGTGGTCACATTCTGGTTTGGAATTTGCTGTTGTATATGGGTGTATCCTTTTCTCTATGATATATGTACAATATGGAGATAAACAGCATGTACTAAAGTTCCCACTATTTGATATTTACTGGAGATCCACTAACGTGGAATACAATGGACAGGTTTGATACATTATACAAAAACAGTACTTATGCTAAAGTCATGAATCCATTTTGGCTGAAGCACTCAATTATTTTGGGATGATTTTAGATCCATGTTTGGAAATACTTTCAAAAATACACTAGAGCTGCTTCTTTCTATCTTTTTTATTTGGAAAACCTAATCCGTCTTATATATGGTTTTTCATAAGCCTTAATATACCAAACTGGATTATATGTTTCCTGTATAGTTGTTGATGCCTTATGAGTTGTACATTTTTAAGAAGTCAGAGATGATGGGTATTTTATGTCCGCAATGTATTAGTCACTTTTGATCATTCTTTATAGATCTCTTGAATATTTCACGTTTCCTTAACATGTCTTAGTTATGCCTGCTAAAGCAACACTGTTCGACAAGAAGTGCAATCCTTTACTAGAGCTTGGAACTGGTCCTTACAACACTATTCGTTGGAACCCAAAAGGGAAATGTATCCTTGGCTGATGAATTGACATTCTTTGTATTTAGTCAAATAAATTTTAAACACTCACCTAGCAGGAAGATTTCTTTCTTTCTCTTTTAAATTTTTAAAGGGACTCTGAGGGTTTTGGGCAGGGGTTGTAAATTTGAAGTAGTTCAATATTCTTATGACATAGGTATCTAAATATGGGTTCCTTGATTGTTAGCTTCCAGTTTTGTGTTTGGCTGGCTTTGGTAACTTGCCTGGTGATATGGTATGTTCTCATGACTATTTGAATTATTATGCTCTATTTTGATTTTTCCTTTCTGATGGAAGAGATCTGATGTGTGATTGGCTTATCTAGTATTAGTGATATACCTTGCTGAAAAAAATTATGACTTCCAATCTTTTGGAGTATAAGAATCACTAGGGTGTGTTTGAGTAAACAACTTAAGCACTTATTCAATAAGCTCTGATTACATGAGGATTTATACCATATATTTAACCATGAAACTAATTGGAATAACCTAAAGAAAACTTATTTTGATAAGTTACACAAAGAAACTTATTGAGATGGGCTAAAAAGAGTTCATGGGAGTTATAAGCCATTTTGATAAACTCATAAGCTCTTTTGAACATTCCCTAAAAAATTTATATTGTTGGTGCCTCTGGTGCTGCTTCTTGGTCTTAGTATTGAGTGAATCTCTTTATTATCTCCACTTCACTTTCATTTTTTTTAATGATTAATGATGCATAGCTTCTTATATTTAGTGCATGTTTGGTTCAATTTATTTTGAAGAAATAATCACGTGATTTTGCTAGCTTCTTAAATCAGCTTTTGAAGAAAGTGATTACTTCCCAAAAATGGTGTTGTTCCCCAAGATGCACGGAGCATTTTGTTATTAAAACAATAATTGAAATAAGAAATTGCTAGTATTTGTTGTACTTCCATATGACTCATCCACAAATGCACGCAAGATTACTAACACGTGCTTCTTATATGGACTTCATATGTTTTTCATGCTTATGTGATAGGTATTCTGGGATTACATAGATAAGAAACAACTTGGAACCACCAAGGCTGAATGGTCTGTGACAAGTGAATGGTCTCCGGATGGGTGCTATTTCATGACAGCTACAACAGCTCCAAGGCTTCAAGTTGACAATGGGTATGTAATATTTGGCCATTAGCAAGACCTTAGAGTACTCATTGCCTAAAAATATGCAATCTTCTACGAATGGGCACTTCTTTTTGTTGTTTGTGTACAATGTCATCCTGATTGGCCACTTTATCTTTTCCCATTGATTTGATCATAATTGGCATCAGTGATTAATTTGAACAACATTTATGGGCTAATTGGACAGTAACTTGGATAGTTTATAGGAGAATATTTTACTGGTTGTTATATGTTGGTTTCCACTTTTTGGGTGGTCATAGTCTTATTCACAAAGAAAGCATTTTTTTTATATTTTATATTTTCTTCCATTGAAGGATCAAGATTTTTGTTTACAATGGGTCATTGTACTTCAAGAAAATGTTCGACAAATTGTACCAGGTTAGCAGTGTTTTGAATTTTTGCTGATTACTTTTTTTTTTTCACCTTTTGTCATATGTTAATGAATTGTATGCAAACTATTTGCAGGCTGATTGGAAACCAGAGTCACCAGATAAGTTTGGTGATATTGCCGAATTAATCAAGTCTCTAAATTTGGTACAACTTGAAGATAAAAAACCACCAGGTTCGTTACCACGCCTAATAATATTTTTTGTTATGAATTATATCTTGTGTTATTTAAAGACCATGGACTAATTACAGGTCAAGGACCAAAATCAACTCAGACTTCTACAAAAGTCTCGTCTGCCAACCCCCCTACACAAAAACCTGCTGCATATCGTCCACCACATGCTAAGAATGCAGCTTCTATTCAGGCAGAGGTACACAGTCATAGAATCTATGTTGTCATTGTTTCTATTTTTAATGGTCAATATAAATTTTAAATGGTATAATTTATAGTTACGAAGTTTTTTGACTGTTGGTTAAATTGTTATGGAATATATATGTTTTTGTGTCTTGCCTTAAACTATTGGAGCTGAGTTTCATTGTTTAGCTTGTCTCTAATGATGCCAAATTGATTTCTACTTGCAGCTGTTTGGAGAGACTCCTACTGAGTATACCTTTCCCCCTTGCTTTCTTCCCTTCTTCCTTTTACGTTTAAGTTCTTGTGATTTATTCTTTATTATTAATCACTATTTGTTGATTAATTTAGATCAATGAGCAAGAATGCATTACGAAACAAGAAAAAGAGGGAAAAACAGAAGGAGAAAAAGGCTGCTTCTGATGCGAGTTCGTCTTGATTGAATCAATGTTGGTCCTGATGCATTCTAGATTGCTTTCTACAATTGCACTCAGGCACCTGAATAGTTGAGCTTCAGGTTTTTGGTTTACTAGATTTAATTGTATCACGTCTCTGACAGCGAACTTTGGGCAGTTTTGGGTTGCTCAGATTTTGAGGTGATTAAAAGGGTGTTGTAGGCTTGTGCTTTCTTTAGTTTCCAATTGGGATATAAAAGGTGAGCGTGGAAGATCTGTCTTCTTATAAAAGAAGTATTTATTGTAAGAGAAATGTTATAGTAGGTTACACAAATTCTTTAGTTTCCAATTGGGATATAAAAGGTGGGAGTAGATGATAAATCTCTTTTTCAACTCTCAATAAAAGAAGTGTTTATCGTAAGAGATGTAATTATAAGTATGGTACGTAGACCTTGTCATGTGTTTCAATGAGAGAAAGCTGTATCGTTAGATCAATAAGCATTTGGATGAATGGATAGATCTTTTGTTTTCCTCTAAAATCCTTGCCTTGTTCTCTCTCAATCGTGCCTCTCATTTCCGGGTGCTGCTCTCTTTCTCTTCTCTGATTGTGAGGTTGAGGTGTCCATTCGTGCGACACACGGTAATGTCTCCATCCACGAGGTCTTCATCCTCGTGCAATGGCGACTCCCACTTTGGATCCATTATTATGGATGAAGTTTTATAAAATGTAGTTATCATGGAGGCTTGTAATATTTTATCAGGAAGATTATAAAAATTTATATATAATGACTATTAATGAAATATCTCTCACTCACATATATAAGAAATTTGTATTAGATCTCATATTTACTCAAATGGTAGATGATCGATTGCAAATGAAAATTATGAGGGAAAAAGAAAAAGAAAATAAAAAAAAGGAACAAAAACAACTTCTAGAAGGTGAAAAGGTGAAAAATATTTCTTTTAAAGAGATAGTTGAGAAAGAAAGTCGCTTTATTATTATTATTATTATTAAAAGTGAAATTAAAATTTGAGTTATAAGGGAAATTTTTAGTGTGCTTTTCCTCTTTAAAAAGAGAATCATTTAAGATACATATAATTTTCAAGTATTTATTATACATGAACATTTTAGTGTTCTTTTCCTTTTCTTGATATACGAGTTAAAATAAGGTTAATATAGATTACTTTTTAAGATTTTTCATTAGGTGATTTTTAGTGCTCTTTTCCTCTTGGTACACGAGTTAAAATAAGGATAATATAGGTTTTTCTTAAGGATTTTCATTGTGTAATTTTTAAAATCAAAATTTGAGTTTCATTGTGTTATTTGTTTCATAGCAATTTTAACTCAATTTGATGACACAAAAAGTTAAAATGGATCTTTCTTTTTTCATGTTCTCATCTCTCTCCCTTCTTTAACCTTGCTACTATTATGTGCCCAAACACTATTGCACTCTTTACATAGTGTATATTAGTAGAGTTGTCAAACAACTCAATCTGAATTGTCAGACCAAGCATGAGAAACAAGTTAGTTTAACCTAACTTTTACATGGATCATGTTTTTTTTAACCCGATCTAACTATTTACCTTAACCAAATTGAGCCACTTTATTTGTTTTTAATAGTTTTACATGTGATTTAAAAGGAAAAAAAAAAATTGGACCAAATAAACCTGGTGCCTTACGGGCCTAATTTTTACTGGCCCAACTTGACCATCTTTTTTGAACTTAAAAATAAAGAGCCTACCCTAGTCTAACTTAGGAGGCTAATGGGCCAACTTATTGGATAGGACCAATTTGACAACTCTACAAACTAGGCATGACAATGAAGGTGAGTAGTAGACCTCCATCTTGCTAGACAAAAATTTGTCTTGTATTCACCTTACACTCGCACATGTGCCCATTAAACAAGTACCCATGAATTTTGTTAGTACCAACAAATATCCATTGATAATCATAGATATGTATGACTCATTTATTACCTATGAGTATTCATTTTTAAGTTACTCATTTATTATCCATGACAGATTTTATTCATAAGTGTAGAGTTTTTTGTCATCTCTAGTGCACATCACACACCATAGTTACACAATGGCCAAGAGAGAAAATCTTTTGACGATCTAAAAATTAAAATGACTCTTCATTTTTCATGTTTTCATATCTTCTCTCACTAACTTGTCTTCCTTCTTAATAATTTTTTTTCCTTATTATATTATATTATATATATAGGGATTTGATATTCTAAGAATAAGTCTATCTAAACTTACTCAATTTAATAACTCATGTTTTACATCAAATTTTAATGATCCAACAGTTGAATTTAAAGCTTTTATATGCTTGCCCATGGCTTTGATTTTGTCCATTTAGTGAAGTAGTTTATGGTTATCAGAAGAAACTTTACATGACTTCTTGCTACGGGGAAGGGTCCGAGAATGTTCATTCCCCCAATAAGGCCAAGGGCTCACCCTTGGCATGTGACTGGCCAACTCAAATCTTACATCGGTTTGCCTTGTGTTCCTTCATCTGGATGAAGTAGGAAGCACGGGTGTGTGTTTGTAGGATCATCATAGTAGAGGTCATTGGTGAATGGCCATGGTTTTATTGCTTGTAACATGGCATCGAGGGAAACTATTGGTTGGAGTTTATGTATCGTTTTTGCCACAATTGAGAATCACCCCATAAATGCTCGAAGTGCCATGTCATCCCTAAGGTTGACGTTTTGTGTGATCGGTTGATGGTGAACCTTGCCTTGAAGAGGCGTTTTATTGCGATGTGCTTGCATCTCTAGGGAGACGCATGCCCATAATCACATTAGTAGGATATACATGATAATTGTTTTGTAGGCATTGCGAGTTGGACCCACAAGCCTTGTGTGGGAAATTGCTACGACTAGCTTGGATCGGTCGAGCTTGATAACAAAATATAGGAGGTATGATATCATTCACTGGGTCGACACATTTTAGAGCTCAAAAATTAAGACTTGAACTTGTCCACATCTATAAGGGACTGGATCAACCTATGGACAGATTGGATCTTGTTTACTCCTAATTTTCTTACGAGTAAAGTAGTACTTCCAATCATATCTAAATTGAAGTTAAAAAACACAAATGTTGAAACATTTATGCTAACTTGAGGACCTTTGATATTTTAATGATTCTTTATTGATGGATCAAAGCTAGTGTACCAAATTATTTCAACTAATAAATAAAAAATGAAAAAAAAAACTATGATTCTTCTTAAGTATTGAGGGTCAATTATTAATTTATTAAATAAAGAGTTTCAAAGAGAATAGGTAAAATCATATATTTAATATATTAATTTTTTAATTATTAAATTTAATAGATATAATAAAAATATCTATTTATATTTTAAAAAATTATGAATAATAATTAGTGGCTTAATTAGTAGATGTCAATATTCATTGTCAATCATTACTATTTATATTTTCGTTATGTATTATTTTCTTTATTGTGTAATTATTCAGTGATTACATGAGGCAAGTCGTGAATGTGTTTGACTAAGATCTATGACTCAACACATACGAGAAACTTGTGATTTATTTTCTAGAAAAATGACATCGATAATTATATATGAAGATAATGTTGCATGTATTGCACAATTGAAAGATGGATACATAAAGAGAGATAGAACAAAGCATATTCTACCGAAATTCTTTTTTACTCATGATCTTCAAAGGAATGGTGATATAAATGTTCAACAAGTCCGCTCAAGTGACAACCTAGCAGATCTCTTTACAAATTCACTTCCAAGAAAAGTTTTTGAACAATTGATACACAAGATTGGGCTCCGTCGTCTTAAAGATTGTATATATGAGGAGGAGAAATAAATATTTATGAATGATGTACTTTTTTTCCTTTACTAGGTTTTTATCCGGTTTTTCCTAGTAAGGTTTTAATGAGGCACATTCTAAATATTGGACATTTAAGGGAGAGTGTTATGAATAATAATTAGTGGCTTAATTAGTGGATGCTAATATTCATTATCAATCATTACCATTTATATTTCCGTTATGTATTATTTTCTTTATAGTGTAATTGTTTAGTTATCACATGTACTTATAAATAGGTTAGTCCTCTCCTAAACATATATCAGTCAGATTCTTTTCTCTATCTAATATTGTCTTATTTGTTCTCTTTATTTGTTCTCTCTATTCATTAAATATAATTAAATTCATTATTCATATATATATATATATATATATATATATATAATAAATATTTTTAATATTGAATCTTTTGATTCCAGTGCATATTAAAAGAAAAAATAAATTATAAAATAAGTGTTAAGTTAATTTTTTAATATAGTATTAATTTTCTCTTTTTTAATTTATATCTCTAATAATAATATATAGAAAGTGAGTTTTGTGTTGTATCATTTAAAAAAAATTGTCAAAAAAAAATATTTATTAATTTTTTTTATCTTTATAATAATTTAGGATAAGACTCTTATATAGGACGAGGGAGTAAAATATTGACCACAACTTATAATATAATTACTGTCATATTCCTATTTAGGGATAACAAAAATATTCGTATCCACGAGTATTTACGGGTAAATTTCGCTACGAATAATAAATAAATGGGTTAATTAGGTACCCACAGATTATGGGGACATATAATTTTTTACCCGTTTATAAACGAGGCGGGGGCGGGTATGATGATATTTATACCCGCAGTTACCCGTTTAATAATATTTCTCAAATATCTTAATTATCCTTGTATTACATAACCCTAAAACTATACTCTCTCATCTTATTTTCTTACAAAAGTGAGATTGATGAAGTTACCAACATGTGTTAAGCATGTTATAGAATTATATTGGATGTAATTTGACTAATTTTCTAGCTTTGATTGAACCAATAAGATTTATGTATTTTAAGTTTTTACTTTCGTTTGGAATTATGAGATTGAATTATTGTGGTATGAGACTTTCACTTACTTGTGAAATTGATATATTTTAAGTTATTGATTATCTTGCATTTTTATTATTATTTCAACAAAATTAACGTTAAATACAAGTTTAAAATTAACCCTAAATTTTTATTTTTAATATTTCAATGACATTAAATATAAACTTAAAATTATTTATAATATAATTTTTTTAATTTCTTAAATATTTATAAATATTCATGAATATCTGTGAATATTTAAGAAATTTATGAATACCTGTTTAATAGATACCCGCGCAGATATAGGATAAGTATGAGACCAATTTTTATCTAGTAAAACGGGGACGAGTTTACTATTACCCGCCTCATAGGACCCCGTTACCATCACTATTTTTATTGATATCGCTGTCAATGCATCTCTCACTGATAAAAAAAAAATCATCATATTCCTTTTCGGTTTCTTTTATGTGCCTATTGATGTTATAGTCGATGCAATTCCTGCCGATTAAAAAAAACTCCTATTCCTTTTCAGTTTCTTTTATATAAATGTTTAAGTGAATGCAATAAAATTTTTCATTATTTTATATAAATGTTTGACAACAACCGAATACAATAAATGTTCATAGTTTCTTTTA